GAGATTCAGCTGGGTTCCAGGTGAGTCTCTCGAAAGAACCAAATTAGTTTGCAGATGAGTGTATATTTGCTAACTTTTTACTCCCCTATGTTATGAACTCCATTCCCTCTACGCTCCCTGAACTCTGTCTGTTTGTACTGCTTTGTAGAACTGCAGTCCGTGAAGGATTTCAGGAGCTCGTGAATGAACTGTGGAAGGTAAGCTTCAAAACAAATCTTATTGATTTTTTATCTGTGCAAGAAATGGTCACGAGTCACTGCTACCAGGTAGGAGAAAACCCTAATGTTGTTCTGCCATGTGATAGGCGATGAGTGAAATGTTCTCTCGATTCTATCTGGCTCAACTTTGTGAATTTGTCTCACGACTCACCAGGACCACCAGGCGCCATCTCACTCTGCTCAATGAAGACAGCCTCATTTTTTCGCAATTTGCTAACTGTTACCTGAAGATGGTTGACAGTCTTCCCTATACCAACAAAACAACGCTGGTGTTCTCTTGCCATTTCCTTCTCTTGATGACATAGGTAAAACACGCGTCACTATGAGATCTACCGGTGAACTTTGGTTGCAGTTCATGGAGTTGTATAAGTGCCCAAACTGGTCCCCTCAGAGTCCGTATATCCGCAAATTCATGCCTTTGGGTTTAGCGACTTATTCATCATTTGTGGACAAGCAACAGGTCCCACCAAAAGTATTGTTCAGTCGCGAATTGAACCATTTTCGCACATCACTTGATGAGGATCGGCTGTGCCTGTGATGATCATCTAACGGTCTCCCTCAGCCTCCTGTTCCTCTCAGTTGCGTATCAATTTCAGCTTCATTCTTTTCAATTCCATGATCGATTACACTCATCTCCATTTGTAGGATTGTCACACAAGCAGTGTGCAAACGGTCTCTACACAAATGGGACCCGGCCAAGCGGAATCGTTTGCTCAACTGTCCTCTCAGTGCACTCCATTAGAGTACATTGGATGGTTAACAGAAGACCTTTTTCCCAACGAACTACTGCTCAGCAGTTGTGATATGGATAACTGCCCACCTGTACTCCAATCCACACTCTCTTTGGATGCGATGTTGAAATGTCATCTACCCAAATTACCGACTGCCGTTCGTCCATTCACACCTCTGATATTTGACCCAGATCACTTGGTCATTGAACTGCTCTCTTCACTACAACTATTCCGATGCAAATTGAGCCAAGCTTATGAGGAAGCAGCTGGTACAAAGTAAGTCAAATGTGTGAGCACTAACGAGGTTTGAATCCATATCACTATTGGCGAGGTGGCTCAAGTGTTAGACCGCGAATTTACTCACACGAATATCCGTGGTTCGAACCCGACCCCTGCTTCTCGACTTCCCCTGTCTAGGCTTGAGCAAATGGGCAGTATCCCAGCCGTCGTGCTTTCTTTGGGTGGCATAGCAGCTAGTCACCGAAAGGGCTGTTTTCTGTTCCTATATTCATTTCGCCATTTCGGTCACAGTTCACTGATCGGAAAGTCCATGATTCGAACCCAACCTCGACATCTCGACTGTTTCTGTCTGTGCATGGACAACCTGATAGTGTTTTCGAAAAATATGGTCACAATCGGTAGATTTATTGCTGAAGAACGTTTAGCTTTTGAC